AAGTTGGAGCTGCATAAGAGACACTGACCTGGGTGAACTGCGCAGCTATCTTGGCTTGCAGATCACCCGGGATAGAGCACGGCGTACCATCACCCTGACTCAGTCACACATGGTGCACCAGGTCCTTCAGCGCTTCGGCTTCCAGTTCTCCTCGCCACAGCCCACTCCTCTGTCTACCAGCCACTCGCTCTCAGCTCCACCTTCGAACGAGTCCGTAGAGCCGAGTGGTCCGTACTCAGAGCTTGTGGGTTGCCTCATGTACCTGATGACATGCACACGACCTGACCTTGCGTACCCTCTCAGCCTTCTGGCTCGCTACGTGGCTCCCGGTAGGCACCGAAAGGTGCACTGGGATGCTGCGAAGAGGGTACTGCGTTACTTGTGCAGTACGTCGGGCATGGGGCTCGTTCTTGGAGGACTGGGTCCAGTTGTCCTCACTGGTCACGCGGACGCCTCTTGGGTAGACGACTCAGCTATGCAACGGTCGTCACAGGGTTACACCTTCAGCCTTGGTTCCGGCTCTGTTTCCTGGCGGTCTACCAACTCCAGTACCACCAACTCCAGTACCTCCAGTAGAACCTCCAGTATCAGCACCGCCAGTACCCCCAACTCGTGGAACAACAGCACTAGCACCTACAGGGCCAGCACCTCCAGTACCTCCAGGATTACCTGTGCCTCCAGTACCAGTACCTCCAGCACGGCCAACTCCAGGAACACCAGCACTAGCACCTCCAGGGCTAGCACCTCCAGAACCTGCAGCTCCATTACGTCCAGTGCCACCACCAGGACTGCCTCAACGGACAGCCCACTCGCGAAGCCGCTCTGGCGAGAGAGGCTCCTAGCGACGTGAGCCAGGACTACCCGCAGCAGCACCCACATCAGCAGTACCTTCAGTACCTCCAGTAGCACCTGTGCCTCCAGCACCAGTACCTCCAGCACGGCCAACTCCAGGAACACCAGCACTAGCACCTCCAGGGCCAGCACCTCCAGAACCTGCAGCTCCAGCACGTCCAGCGCCACCACCAGGACTGCCCCAACGGACAGCCCATTCACGAAGCCGCTCCGGCGAGAGAGGCTCCTGGCGACGTGAGCCAGGACTACCCGCAGTAGCACCCACAGCAGCAGCACCTCCAGTACCTCCAGTAGCACCTATGCCTCCAGCACATGTACCTCCAACACGGCCAAATCCAGGAACACAAGGACTAGCACCTCCATGGCCAGCACCTCTAGAACCTGCAGCTCTAGCACGCCAAGCGCCACCACCAGGACTGCCCCAATGGACAGCCCACTCGCGAAGCCGCTCCGGTGAGAGAGTCTCCTACCGACGTGCACCAGCACCACCAACACCTCCACCCGCAGAACCTTCAGCAGCAGCACCTCCAGCACCCCCTGCACCCGTAGGACTCGCAGCACCCCCAGAGCCAGCACCCCCAGAGTCCGCACCCCCAGTGTCGACACCTCTAGCAGCACCATAGTCCACAGCGACGGGCCGCAGAGGTGGTGAAGACGGTCGAGGCTGAAAACCAGGAGGGACCGCCAAGCGCGCGGAGCGGCGAGGGGCCATGGTGTCGGTGGTAGTCTGGTCACCCCCCTCAGCTGGGCCAGAGGTGTCTGAGGAGACCTCCACAGGCTCAACCAAGGGGGGTGGGTCTACCTGAGACACACGTGAGGGAGCGGGACTGGGAGGAGGGAGCGGGGCTACCGAGGGGGGGTCGTCTACCAGGGAGAGGGGCGGGAGGGGTACCGGGGAACTGCGGTGGGGATGTAGACGGTAGAAGCAGACGGACTCGCCAAAGGTGACATCGCGGGAGGACAGCACACGATGAGAGCCCGGGTGGTAAAACTGCCAGGGTGGTGCATTGCTGGGAAAGCCAAGGAACACGCACCGAAGAGTGCGTGGAGAGAGCTTGCCCGCAAGAAAATCGCGAACAAGAGAGAGGGAACCCCAGACCTGAAACGCCGACGCATCACCAACCTCGCCCGTCCACCTCAAAGTGGGGGAGGTCTCCGGGTGGGAGACACGGGGCCAGAGGTTGAGCTGCTCAGTGGCGTATCGGACAGCAAATGGCCACAGAAAATGGGTAGCATCCGCATGGATCATGGAGGTGTGAGCAACCTCCATGACTAGACCAATGTGGCGCTCGGCAATCCCATTCTACTGTGGAGAGGCCGGAAGCGTGTACGACTGGACGATTGCCTTAGCACCACAGAAGTCCTCGAGGAGGTGGGAACAAAACTCACCATCTCGGTCAGAGTGCAGCCGCAGGAGTTGGAGGTCCTCACGGAACCGAGCCCGAAGCTGGAGATGGACAGCGCGGATCCAGCGGATCAAGACACCGTGGATATCCGCCTTGCTCTGCAAGAAGAAGAACGTGGTGTAGCGCGTGTAGTCATCGACAACCAGCATAAAGTAGCGCTCGCCACCCTGTCCAATGACGCGGGCGGGGCCCCACACGTCCTTGTGCAGAGTCTGCAGAGGAGCTGTGGTAGGAGGAAACGAGGAGGAGTGAGGAGCGGCGCGCTGCCGCCCCTAGACGCAGGGAAGGCAGGGCGGTGCAAGTGACCTCGGAAGCAAGGTTAGGGACATGGGGAGACCAGACACAAGGAGACGGGAGTGCATGCCACGTAGGCGTGGCAAGGAGGGGTGGCCAAGACGGTGGTGCCAGAGGAGAGTCTGGTGCGTGAGGAGACGACACGAACAAGACGCAGCGACCTCAACCGACACAGCTACCTGACCTGACTCAGCTACCAGTGCAGACTCAGTGGTCAGTGTGTACACGCCGGACCCAGGCCTCCGAGTGAACGTGGCGAGGTGCTCACCAGTGCGCGAGTCCGTACAGATTGCCATGAGCTTGCCTCCAGGCTGGGTGACAGTGACCCACTGATCCTGGAGAATAGAGGTAGCCACCAAGTTCTTAGCGAACGAGGGGAGGTGGAGACATGTGAGGAGGTCGGAAGGGGCTGCCGGACAAGGGAGAACAGTGGCGCCATGCGCGACTACCGGGCCCCTGGAGGGGTCGGCCAGTGTGACAGGGACAGGGACTGTGAGCGGTGTGACTGTGGTGCTGTCGCGGAAGAAGCAACGAGACGCGCCTGAGTCGAGAGTAAAAGTGTGCAAGGCCTCCTCAATCTCTGCACGTGTGCTAGCTGGGTCAAAAGCACCAAGACTAGCAGCCACTACGCCACCAGGTGCCTCTACACCCCCAATACGAGTACGACGAAACCCTCCGCCACCGAGGCTGCCCCACCGGACAGCCCACTCACGAAGCTGCTGTGGGGAGAGAGTCTCTGGGTGACGCTGCTGGTGCTGCTGTCCACCCCCAGAACCTCGTCGTCTACCAGCGGCACTACCAGCAGGAGTAGACTCACATGGACCTCCTGTAGTAGCCTCACCAGATAGCCCTCTTGCGAAGCTGCTGCGACGAGAGCGTCTCCCGCCGATGAGTACGAGGACCGCCAGCACCAACACCTCCAGCTCTAGTACAGCTAGCTCCGCCACCGGGGCTGCCCCACCAGATAGCCCACTCGCGAAGCTGCTGCGGCGAGAGGGACTCCAGCACACTCGACTGCTGCTGACGTAGAACAGTGGTAGTGGCCATGGCAGGAAGTGGCAGCTGGTAGCAGCAGTTGCGCAGCAGCAGTAGTAGAGGCGGCAGTAGCAGCGCAGCAGCACTCGGGGCAAGGCAGCGCTATGGCAGGATAGGACAGCGCGGGGCAGCGCACGCGGGTGGCAGCAGCACCTAGGGTGACTGCAGCAGGCGGTAGCACCTAGGGCGGCAGCACCTAGGGCAACAGAAGGCAGTAGCTCCTAGGGCAGCAGCACCTAGGGCGGCAGCGGCAGGCGGCACATGCGTGCGGGCAGGGCAGGCGCGGGCAGCGCGAGTAGGGCAGGGCAGGTGCGCGTGCAAGGCAGCAGCACGGGGCAGGGCACGGGTCATTGGGCAGCAGGGCACTCTGGGCGCTGGGCAGCAGGGCGCGCTAGGGCGCTGGGCAGCAGGGCGCACTAGCGTGCTGGGCAGCAGGGCGCGCTGGCACGCTGGGCAGCAGGGCGCGCTCGCGCGCTGGGCAGCGGGGCGCGCTGGCGCGCTGGGCAGCGGGGCGCGCTGGCGCGCTGGGCAGCGGGGCGTGTAGGCGCGCGGGGCAGCGGGGCACGCTGGCGCGTTGGGCAGCGGGGCGCACTGGCGTTGTGGGCAGCAGGGGGCGCGGGCAGCGCACGGGCAGCGTGCGGGCAGGGCAGGGCAGCAGCGCGACGGCGTGCTGGGCAGGGCATAAATGACGGTCCGGGCAGGAAAGAAAAAAGGGACTGCCAGGCAGAGCGGAACGAATACGGTGGGCCCTAAGAAATTTCGATCCTAATCGGGACCTGCTCTGAAACCATGTCAGAATAGTGATGTGGAAATGATTAGGGTTGTGAGTACAAGTAGGAAACCTTAAGGGGTTGTACTCATTAGAGTATGCCCCACTACAGCCTAGAGCATACAAACATAGTTTGACACTGTGTTGGCAAGCCACCTTCGAGCTATGTTGGCACACTGTCAACATGTCGTGCTGGCAGGCCGGCCCCCTGCTGAGCTGAAGGTCTACCTGCTTGCTACTAGGCTTGCTAGGTCCCATATGTAGTCATCATTGCTATCGCCTTTCGCATCATTTTGTATTCAACTTTTGCTTTTGAAACTCTTGCGGATTTTCTCTGTGAATACACATGTAGCGAGAACACAAGCAAACGCTACGATTATTCATACCACCTGTGCTTTCCCCCGTAGTCCAGCTCCTGGTGTAGAGCAGGCCCTCATATTCACTTTTTAGTACCCTGATGCATCAGGCTCTCCCTGAGTAAAAAGGCTGATTGACTGTGTTCTAAAAAAAAAAGGCTGGAAATTCAGTGTTGCTTAAAACAAAAGCCTGATTGATCAGTGTTACATAAAAAAAAATCATGATTAAATAAAAAACTAAGGATTTAAAGTTTAGCACATCGTGCTTGCATGCAGCATCGACAGAGTTCAATAATCAGAATCAGAGTCACCACTACTCCTACTGCCATTGTCTCCCTGCCAAGCCTGCTCCATTTCCTCCAACTCTTCCTCTTCTTCAGCTACTTCCTTTCCTCTGCTATCGCCCTGCCCCTCTACTGCTGGTACTGCTGCAAAGTTACAGAAAGGACGGCGCTTCTTGTAGCTGCGCCAGATCTGCACAACCTCGTCATAGTTCGGCTCATACTCGAGGAGGGACATGGAGAGGAGGACTTCTAGGCAGGCATCCTTGAGGCTCCCCCGCTGCCACGACTTGATGATGTTCTGGCGGCTAAAGCCGCGCTCACACTCCACCGTACTCAATGGCAGTACGGCGACTGCCACCCACAGCCGCACCAGGTTGGGGTAGCTCGCCGTCCAATCGCTCGTCTTCAGCATCGCCGTGAGCCCTGCATGGAAAGAGCGCTCGTTCTTGGGGGCACCTGCGAGGATGGGGCAGAATGTGCGCAGCTCCTTGATCGCCCGCCGCTTGTCGACCCCTGCCAGACAAGAGAAAAGGTTGGGATGTGCATTAGCAAGATTTAGAAGGATAGAGTCCAGGGTTCAGCAAGATAGGGTTATAGGCAAGATAGGTCGATAGGGAAAGATAGGCAGATAAGCTAAGGATAGGCAGATAGGCAGATAGGCAGATAGGCAAATAGGCAGATAGGCAGATAGGCTGTTAGGCAGATAGGCAGTTAGGCAGATAGGCAAAGATAGATCAAGGGTTAGCAAGAAGCATACCAGGCGGGATGCTGTCCGACTTGTCTGCTTTTAACAGGGTTACCAGTGACCTGAGCCACTCAAGGCACTGGTTGTATCGCTCCACCCTCCCATGCAGCCACTCGTCTGGAGTGAAAAGTCTCACTCCAGACAAGCCCTGCAAGTCTTCAAATTGTGAATTTAGGTTGCGCACAAGGGTCTCGGCGAACGCAGTGCACAGGTCGATGCAGGCGTCGTGGCTTCCCACGGTTGGGAAGTCCTCGTTCGGATTCTCGTGGAGGACGAACTCATGTGTTGTCGGCCTGCCATCTGAGTCCACCCCTTTCACCGTCACCTTGGGGCATCCACCATCGGGGCCATGCTTCGTGATGAAAGGAGACAAGCGGGCGCTCAACCCGCCTCCAAAATCGTCTCCACAGTCCACGTATCGACTCTCCAGGTAGGAGGTTGTCCTCCTGATCTGAGCATGAACGACTGCATAGTCAAGCTAATAAGGGCAGACACAAGGAAAGAAAGAAGTTGGTAAGAATCATGAATAAGGCATCAGCCGCACACGCATAGACAACGAAACTTTAAAGACCAAGGCAACAGCAACCGCGAACAGAAGGACAGAAACGGTTAAGAGACAACAATAATGCATGAGGCCAATAAGAGACAAGATACACATGCTCACCTCATGCTGCTGGAACGTCTTGTTCAGGACGTTCAGCTGCTCCAGGACGTCCGCAATGAAGAAGAGCAAGAAATGAAACCTGTAGCTGGTGGCTAACTCGTGCATTTGGAGGTCATACTCCGAAAGCATGACAATGACGGCGGGGGATACGTAAACCAATCGCAGAACTGCATCACCCTTGGAGAGCCAACGCACGCTGTGTATCCCTTGGAGCTCCAGGTTGGATGCTGTGAACACTTCCTGCAGCGCGTGAAATCTCTGGTGCCAGGGGGATGAACGGCCGAGATGCTCAGCGAGAGCACGGATGAGGTTGTCGACCATGTCAAACTCGGGCAGAGCCTCGGCAGCGTTCTTCGCTGCGAGGGCCTCCCTACATGAACAACACAAACAAGATCTGTAAGTATTATAGAAGGTACAAGATGTCAAATATTACAGTGTACAGGCAGCCAAAACTTAACCTGTGGGCGACGCAATGGCTTGATACGATGTGTGGGATGCGCAGACGCAAGCGCGCGACAAGGCCGTTCTTCACACCCATCATGACCCCCACGCCATCAGTGCTGATCCCGGCTATCCGGCCGAGCTCAATGCCCAGAGCCTGCAGGTGGGAAAGAAACACTGCAAGCAAAGAAGCAGCATCGCACTTGTCCACCGTTAGCAGAGCTAAGAACTCGGTTACAAGGCGCGTTTCTTTGATGAATGTAATGTAGATGATCATATGCTTTCCCCGACACCTGTCCGTGCTCTTGTCGCATGTAACACCGACATAAGGGCTGGAGAGGATATGCTGAAGCTGCGTCGTGTGCAACCACGTGGCCATGGATTGCGTGAGTTGTCCGAAACCGTACCTGTGACGCAAAGACAAAAAACAAGGTTAGAACGTGTAAAACAGCAGACGTCAGCACATTCAATTCAAGATTGATTGATGACCCTATACCCACGTCGAATAGTAGGTGACGTAACCCTTTGCGGGAAAACCAGGCACCTTTTTCAGCGCGAGATAGCGAACGAGCTGCACCCACAACTCTATGGGTGCGTCTTACTTGGCGACAAACAGGAGAGAGTCGAGCAGCGAGATGATCCGTTCTTTATCGATGTCGCGCACCAAGTTTTCGCCGTTGATCCTTGGTTGCCGACTGACAGCAGCGAAAAATGTCATTTTGCTTCCCAATTGCCACCTTGTGCTTGTTAGTTGTTGCGTGACGCTTGAACGCCTGAGTCTGAACGTCTGTAGTGCCTTTACCGCCCCTCCCGCACCGTCCAGAGTAGCTCGCATGTTCATAACAGACAATGCATTTGAAAGCAGGTAAACCATCATTAGTTTTAAGTAACAAAAGCCAAGCAAATCTCTCCAACCACTCGCTCTTGTATTTCTCCAGACACTCAGCATAAATAGCATCGCGCTGAGACTGTTTCGACGGCCCAGCTTCGGAAGGCGATTGCTGCACGCCAGCAGTGGCGGGCGACGAAGGCATGTCGGTTGGAGACGGCGCAGATGGTCCGTTGACAGAGGCATTGGAGCGAAACGGGAGCGGTAACTGCTTGTAACGCCCATTCTTCTTCGGCAGGGTTGTTGGCGTAGATTCTGCCACGGGGGGCGCCTCACGTTCTTGCTCAAAATCAGGCGCTGAAAGGCAATCAGCCCACCCATCTGGATCAATCGGTTCGAAAGGGATCTTGGCAGGCGACGCGACATCTGCAGGCGGTTCATGGGTGCCTACTTGGGCGAGGGTCGAAAAAAGCATATCGTCACTCCCTTGGACATCAGTAACGCTGGCCTCATGGGGGCCTGGCATAGTCAGTATCTAGACCAGCTACATCTAAGCTATAGTGAAAGCAGCTGAAACAAGCTACGAGAGAAACCAGCAGCAGAGGCGAATACACACGGCTGGCTGCCTCTTGGTACACGCGCAAGGGATTAAAGCCCCATTCTGATGAAGAGGACGAAGCAGAAACGACTCCTGGATGGCAGTGATGCTGCCTGGGCGGCGTCCCATGCATTCAGAGTCACTGTGGGAGCATCACTTCTTGCCACCATGACGAAGTCGCATCGCGACGCATGTGCAAGCTGCAGTGCTGGAAGGCTGCCAGTCTTCCAGCACGATTCCCTAAAGCATCTCCCCATTGGGCAGCTTCATGGGTAACCCCAATGGTGTGACACACCGCGCCAGCACATCATATGTTAGCGTGAATGTGTTGTGAGGGCTTTTTTGTCAGGTACTCACCGACACGCGGTGCTGACACCGCGGGAAGTTGGGATTCCTGCTATTTCCCGAGAAATCTACATGCAACTTGCAGTTTTCGCTTTCAGTGTCGAGGTTCGTTACAACGCTGATCCATCAGTGTTGCTAAGAAAAAAAGGCTGAAAAATCAGTACTCTCTAAGAATAGAAGGCTGGAAAATCAGTGTTGAAAAAAAAAAGCCTGAAAAAACAGTGTTGGTACAAAATAAAAGACTGAAAATCAGTCAAATCAGGATAAAAAGCCTGATATATGAGGGCCTGGTGTAGAGTGACTCTCCGCATGCAACATATCATCGCCCCCCACTTCAACCTCTGACACCACCGCACTTCCTACCTTATTCATCCTCATACAATATGCCTCTAGGGGCACACTTTTGTCAGATTTATTTCCCACAAACAGTGGCCCGTAGTCGATCGCGATACCGTACGTGCCAACCACTTTAGAGACCCCTTGCTACCTCTCTTGCTGTAACGGGCTCCAATACCCACGTTCGACATTGCAACGAAGCCGCGTCGAAATCCTCTAGCGCCATTCTCGTTTGCACCTCACCTCCCAGCCCTCTTGACAGCAATTCCATCCCTTTCAGTGCCACCCCCCTGAGCCCTCCACTAAGTTTCTCAACATTGGTTGGCAAATACTTAGGGTACATTTTAGTGGAGACACGTCTTAATTTGCTAGGGCAAAATCCTAAGGTACCTTGCTGTTCCGCTTTGCTCCCAAATGACGCTTTCCTTCGAAACATTACATGTCCATAGAAACACAGCTGCTTCAACTTAACTCTGCGAACTGGATCTGCTGTGCCTCACCTCTCTTTTTGTACCTCCCCTTTCCGCAATTTAGTTTCGTTCTTTCAAAATAAGGTTGAAATATTATTGGTATGTGTTATGGTCACGTTCTCCTTATGAGTGTAATGGGAGTTTCAACCTTGCGATTTGTCGAAGCTACCCGCTCTTTATCTGCTGCCAATGGACTTCCAAAGTGAGCACGGTTCACGTGCAGAAAGGCAACCTTGCAATTGCCGAGTTTCGGTAACATCTCGTAACTCAGTTTCGCTGAAGTAACTAGAACACCATGCAGTGTGGCGAGTGGTCGCCTGGCATGTCTCTCATCGCTAAAGGCCCCCCATTCTTCGTGAAGCGGTCCCATTTGATTGAGGAGGGTGGCGGGCTTCTGGTTCCCCCCAAATTTGCGCCACGTCCTCTCACGAACCTTTCATCCGTGTTTGACGGGCTGTATGTCATCACGACCTGTCAAAGCAGCAGGCTTGTGCTTGGGGGCGACATGTCCACGAGGAATTGATCCGCGGTCCGGCGGCAGCCAAACTGCATGCACTATCTCCAAATCTCTTCACCCCAACTACAGCTCCCTCGCACTCACCTCCACCTCGCGTCGCGTCGCGTCGCATGTCCCTCAATTGCAATTGACTTTCAAGGTGCGCCCATTTCGGTCCCCCTGCTTCTCGTTCTGTGGCCTTCTCGGTTGCCTTTCGAATCCTCCACTTCGACAGGACATCATCACCAGCACTGAGCATACGAAACCACATCTAGTCATTGTCAACGCCCTTCACATGCACACAACCTGTTGCACTTCTCCATTCGGACATTTTAAACAAAGAACGTCATTGTAGCTGCAATTTCCTAAGGAAGGCTGGTTAGCTTCGAATGCACGAGAAACCTGCCTCCTATTAGCAGACTGGTTTCTCGCACCGGCCTAAGCTGTCGTGCTAAGAGCTAGTGATACTGTCAGAAAATAGTGTGACCTGCCATCACTTTCGCCTCTCTTCCTTCCTCCGCCTGTCTTAGGGCCTGCCGTAGCCCAGACATGGCAATCCGTCAAACTCACGCGGAAGAGGATGACAGTACAGACCTGTTCGAGCTTGATTTGTCCCAAGTGGAACTAAAAAACGATGCGAAACGTGAGAAACCAGCGACTTCTAGCTCTGCTAGCCGACTTTTCGCCCCGACTAAATCTTCCCTCGCGAAGTCCCTTGGGAAAGGGCGAAGCGGCGGCGATGTTACCAACGGGCACGAAAAGCCGCGGCCAGCATCCGAGAGAATGTCTTTGGAGAGACGTCCCGCAACCAACCACTCCAAGTTCTCTTCCCCTTCCCCTTCTGCCTGCGCCTCCCCGCACGCTTCCCCACCCGGGTCCCCCCGTGCCGCAACCGGCCGGCGTCGCTCCGACGTCTCGGAGAATCTCGCGCTCCGCTTAAGCCGGCAGCAGGACGGCAGAGGAACTCCTGTTAGCTCCCCGCCAGTCTCTCCGCGATGGTCGGTAATTAGCTCCGAGCCACGGTCGCCTCGATCGCCGCGCTTGGCGGTTACCGGAGCGAAGAGGCAGCCTCTTGTCCAGAACGCGGCTATCCACCGTGGCCCATCTTCCCTGAGCAAGGCTAGTGGTGGCGGTGGCGGTAGGGTTAAGGTTGCAGAGGCGGCTGATTCGAGCAGCAGTAATGCTCGTCACCGTGGCGAACACACACGCGAGCATGCGACGCGGGGGGACGTGAAGAGCGGGCGCGGAGGAGTGGGCGCGCGGAACTCGTGTGGCGCAGCTGCAAGCGGGAGCGGGAGTGCCGCTTGCGGAAACTCTGGGGGCAGGGGTGGTCCGCGCTCGCCGCGGCAAGACAGCAGCCGACAGGAGAATCTATTTAAGGGCCGTGATGCGGATGACGCGGAGAGGGAGCGGCGAGCGAAGAAGGCGGAGGGACCAGTGGGTGGTTATGGTGCTGGTCGTGCCGATTCGGATGCGAGACTACTGTCCAAGGTGAGCTTGGATGAGCCGAGTCTCGAGCTTTGAGGCTGTTTTTCCCCTGCCCGTCAGGCCATACATTCTTCCGCTTCTGGTAATAACTTCCATACATTCTTCCGCTTTGTCATTTCGTACCCTCAGCCTGCCCTAGTCTCCTCTGGTGAGCAACCTCTGCCGACGCATCATGTCGATGAATTTGAGTCAGTCGCGGGTCATCATACGCTGGCGAAGGACATGTCGCAGATGTCGCACATGGGCGTGCGACGAGAGGAGGGCAGCCCGGTTTCGGTGCTAGATGTGGGCATGCGACGAAGCGACGAGAGCGATTCAGAGTGCAATAGTGGCGAATTATTTGCTGGTAAGTGACGACTGCTCTTGCGAATTCACGAACCGGCAATTCTGCAGCTGTCTGTTTTTTCAAAAAATGCGTCGCAAACATTCGTACTGGTTATTACCAGTTACTCCCTTTTCTGTGCCCACCAGTCATCGTCGTCTCACGATTCCTCTATACTCTCGGCTTCGTTTTTCCCATTATTTATCAGATCGTTCCGTGAACTCCGTCTCAGAGTGCTACCCAGACGCGACCGTCGCACTACGTCAGCCGTCGAACGCGTCGCCTGCGTCGCCCAGCCAACATGGCGACGTTGCCGTGGACCTCCTCCGCCTGTCGCCGCAAGACATCGTCGGTGACGTGGCAGGCATGGAGCAGGACCTCGAGTACGTGCGCCACGTGCTCCTCATCTCCGGATTTGGCGGGCCGTCGTTACCGCCGATCTTCTCGCACAACCTCCCGATAAATCCGGTGGTTTTCGAGCAGCTGGAGTTTGAGATTACGGGACAGCTGTCCCAACACTTCCCGTCCTCGTTATCAGCGTCCTCGTTATCGAGTACAAGCCCTTCCTTCATAGGCCTAACAAGCCCAGTTGCTTCTTCCACCGCCGGAGCAGCAACAGGCGCGTCTGCTGCTGGTGCGGTTGGCGCGGGGGTTTCGCGGCTTCCGTCTCCGTCGCTCTTTCCGCTCCCCAGCTTCGCGGTCGGCGCGCAGAACACGTCGGAGGAGCGCCGCCAGCGCATGCTGCTCTTCGACGCGGTGAACGAAGCGCTCGGCCGCACACTCGCGCCGTATCTGGAAGAGCTGCAAGCGCAAGACGAGATCAAGCGAGACGCAAACAATCGCTGCTCGGGTCGGCCGTCGCAGCTTTTCGCAGATACTACTAATACTGGTGGCGCGAATAACGACTTCGGCCTGTGGGAGCTGGATAACGGCGCGTCTTTTTTCGCCTCGTGCTGTTCCGCCTCGCGCAAGCCCGCTCTTCTCCGCCCGCGCCCCATCGGCCGCCAGCTGCTGCAGCGCGTGTGGGCGGAGGTGCACAGCTGGCCGGTTGCGCCGTCGGATGACGTGTACGACATTCTCGATGACGCGGCGAGGAGGGATATGGTGCGCGGAACCGAGCGCTGGTCCGCGGAGGAAGTCGCGGCTGCGGAGGTTCCGCAGGTGGTGTTTGCGCTGGAATCAGCAGTGTTGGAGCGCGTGCTAGAGGAGATTTGCCGCGAATTTGCGGAAGTGGAGGAGGAGCGCGCGCTGTCGCGGCAGCGGAGGCTGAGCGCGAATGGTGCCGCGGAGGGAGTGTGCGCAGGGAAAGCTCCGGGGGGAGGACTGCGGAAAGGCGGGAGTGGTACTGAGAGAAGGTGGCTGCCGCGGCGGTTAAATTTCTGATTGTAACGAGTACAATCAGGATATCACACGAAAATTCGGTTCGAGTGAAACTGCACTTCCAGATTTTAGCTCCTCTCTCAAGGTTTTAGCTATAATAAAGTGGGTGGCTGTAGAGATTTATTCATATGAGGTGGTCCAGGCAAAGCTTGGGTGGGAGTAGGCTGACAGTCACACGTGACTTCAAACCGGCTTACGCTACAGTGCTTATTGTATTTTAGGGGTCATAAAGGATGCCATTATTTGGGCTAATTGTTAGAATCTTACAGGAAAAAGTTGGGTGTCAACCAGGGGTTTTTTTATCAGTGTAATTTACTCTGTTTCTCTGAAAATCAGAGTGGTTTTTAGGGGGGCACTCTGTACCTGCTGGGTATTTTTTTTTAGAGTTACTTGTTCTCTGATCAGCCAGGGTTTTTGTGTAAGTTCACTCTGGAGCGCCAGTGTTCCTTTCTCGAATAGTGAGTTTACTCTGAACGGGGGATACATGTACCCCCCCGACCCCCCTAGGTCCCCCTTATCCCCACGATGTCGGTTTGGACCGGAGCGCAGGGGATATCAGTGTTGTTTCGCCCGTGTGTTGGCACAACCTGAGGCGCCGATTGGCCGGAATGGCATATTTCGTGCCAGCGCACTCAACTGGCCACCCAGTGGATACATCGCTGGCTTTGCGTACCCCATCAGCAATGAACAACTCCAACTTTCGGGCATGATACGGCAGCTTCCTGTGGCTGTGGTGCACTGAATTCGTGCGCGGCGCGCACATCCACACCTGTTGCTCGACAGGCATACGGGGTCACCACCAAACCCCATCCTGTCTGAGCCATTATGTTTCTTCCACCCAGCACTGCTCTTCAACGTTCCAGTCTAGCGAGTGTTCCGAGGGCTTCTCCAGCCACAGCCCCGCCTCCCTAACCTTTTTTTTTGCCGTCAATATCATGGATACTAGCGACGCCGAGGGAGACGCAGCTGATCCCGACGACAGGCCGACATGTATCACACCCCCTGCGACAGGGCTTCAGTTTCTCCGCGCTGTGCATGTAGATAACGCTCGCGATGAGGAGGAGCTGGGCGATGGCGGTACCGAATGGATGCGCCGTCCTGGCAAGGAAAGTGGCGGCATGGAAGATGCGTACGACGATTGGTGTCCTTCTCCGCGCCCGATGAATGACGCTGCTGAGTCCGACGGTGTTGAGGAGTGGATCGCCTCGCCGCGAAACGAGGTTGCTGCAGAGCCGGCTGAAACGGTTGCAACGCAGGTCGTCGATGCGGCCACTCCTGAGTCATCCGGTTCAGTCGCTGTGAAGAAGCGACAGTACACGCAGCAGGTTTTGCAGTGGGGAACACCGCCTCCGAAGCCCGTCGCTCCACCTCCCCGTGCTGCCCCACCCCCCATTCGTCCCCTTACAGACGAGGAGAAGAAGAAGAAGGCGTACCTGAAGGCGCAGAAGAGCTACAAGTCTGATTGGCTGCCGAAGTTTGACTGGCTGATTCTGGACAAGACGCCAGAGGGTGACCCGTGCCTGCGCTGCAGTGTCTGCATGGAGCACGGGAAGGACAACGCGCGTTACGGTCGCAATGGCGCTGGCGGTCGTGATCTGCAGATCGGGTCGATGCGGTGGCACGAGAACAGCGCGAAGCACGAGGACGCCATGAACAAGCAGGCAAACCTTCTGCAGAAGATCGTGGACCAGAAGAAGATTGAAGACTTCGCGAATGGAGATCCGGAAGGCTGTCGCGTCGCGGTACTCATGCGCGCCATGCGTTTTGTGTGCCGTACCGACACACCCATCCACATGTACCCACAGGTCGTGCAGATTCTCGCAGAGGAGGGGGTCGCCAACTTTCCGCAACAAAGCTATGGAGTGTACATCACGCAGTGAGTTGCTGTTGACTGGTTTGTATTCGAAGCAACCGTCTTTGTTTAACGAGGCTAATGCGTTGTGCTATGTGAATGCGCAGGCACGGTTTCTCCGAGATGGCCAAGGCTCTCACCGCGTATCTGACCAGGGAGCAATTGCGCGTCCTCCACGCCTCGCCCTTCATCGGCCTCATGTGCGACGAGAGTACCGATCGCGCCCGTGGCAAACACATGATTGTGTTTGTCACGTTCCTCAAGAACAGCGTGGTTGTAACCGAGTTCCTCGCGTTACTAACCGTGCAGCAATGTGATGCGGCATCGCTCATGGGCGCACTGCTCCAGCATCTCGAGACAGTGGGCGTCGACCTGAAGAAGATATCCGGAATGTCCACGGACGGCGCGGCAGTGATGATCGGGGGCACGTCCGGCGTTGTCACACGACTACGCGTCCACGTCCCCCACCTGGTCGGCTGCCACTGCATTGCGCATCGGTACTTGTGTCGTGGCTGATAATTTTAAATGACCGGTTTTACGTTAGTCGATCTTTAAAGTAATGTAACAATCCTTTTCTGCTCACCCCACTATTGCTTGCAGCGAAGCACTTGCTGTGAAGGAGACGGCCGAAGCCGAGCAGTTCCAAGATTTCCGGATGGTAGACAAGGCCATCCGTGCAGTGGGCGAGATCGTGGGGAGATCCACGCCGTGGTACGAGCGGTTCAAAGAGCTCCAGATCGTGATCCACAGCACCAACCTCGAGCACCAGGGACTGTTCGACGTGCGCTGGCTCTCCCGTGCCGATGCGGTCAACCGGCTTGTCAAGATTTTGGGGTCGGCAATCGTGCTCTTTCTGGAGTACAAGCACAAGATCGCCTCGGTTGTGAAGACCCTGAAATTCCACTTCTGTCTGTATTTCCTGGCAGACATTTTGGGGGAGTTGAACTCCCTGAACCGTTTCTTCCAACGACGCAAGGTAAAACGTGCCCTAAAGGATTGTTGATACACGCGTTTAGTCTTGTTTAATTTTCATTTGCCCACACAGACTAACAAACCTTTTTGCGCACATGTCGGTGCGTCAGGTGGAGGTGACGCAAGTCACAGAGGAGGTCGACCGTGTGGTGTCCCTCATCGAGCACCGCTACATCGACTACGATGGTGGTTTCGGGGCGGGTCTGAGCCCCATCCTGTCTCCATTCATGGCACGTGTCAAGAAAGGGGACAAGAAGGTGAAGGTGGACGGCGTGGACGCTAGCGGCATACCCGTCAAGCACACCTTCGAGCTCAGCGAGCTGCCGGACAAGAAGCACAAGTTCGGCGGGACGCTTGCAGATTGCGTGAAGTTGGGCAAGGCCTTCGCCCGCGAGGTCGTGTACAACCTGAAGCACCGCATGCGAGATCTTCGTCGAATGGGCGACTTGAAGCTTTTCAGGGTGGACAAGTGGCCAGCGAATCCGGACACGCGTGTGAGACGTTGTGCCACGTGGCTCCGCGAGAACTCTAAACTCTTCAACCACCAGTTGCCAGGTATGTGTATATCTTTTCGATCGTGTATGTGTGCTTTCCCTGTAATAATGCCTCTCGTCAATGTGTACCTAACATTTCCGTACATAAAAAACGCTGTGCTGCGCGTACTGTTTTGGCAGGATTCGAACTGCGGGCAGCCGAACTTGAGCTGAAAACTTTCTGCCACGTCATGAGGACGCACCACGAGGACGAGGACTTCTACCAGGCGCTGACGAACATGCTGAGGTCACGCGACTGGCGGCAAACTTACCCCAACATCATGACCCTGTGGCAGGCGTTGGCCGTCCTGCCACTCAGCACCGTCGAATGTGAGCGTGGATTTTCACGGCAGAACATCATCAAGAGCTGGCAGCGCACGGCTCTCAACGACACGCGGCTCACCGAACTCATGAGCATCCACATGCTCGATTACAACGTGGAGTGGCCAGATGTCGTGGACATCTGGCGCAAGCAGAAGAAGAGGCGGCCTACAAAATCCCCTGCACCCTTCCAACCAGCCAATGACAAGGGCGGGCCAGAGGCCAGTTCGGACGACGAACGGGAGGATGGCGTGGCTTACGATGAGTGAGCTTGTGGTAGTAGGTCATTGTGTACAAAGTTTAAAAAATTCAATAATTCTGGCAATGCAACAGCAATAGCAAACAATGGGTAACCATCAGGGTTACAGATGAAAGTTACTCTGAGGTAACAGGGTTTTTAAAATGACAGCAAGTGTTACACTGACATCTAAGAGCAACGCTCGCCAGCCACTCTGGATTTAAGGGTTAGGCCAAAAACGCCTCTGGAAACAAGAGTGCTCCAAAACCAAAAAAAAGCCCTGGTGTCAACTATCGAGGGGAAAGGTACAAAGGAGAAACCTAAGGGGTTGTACCCCACAGTGAGTACCCCACTAAGCCTAACCAAACTATTACATATATACACATATGTTTGACACACCCCCATAGGCAAAGTGGGGGAGAACAGAGGGTCACAAGACCAGTCAGGAAGTGCAAAGCAAGCTCAGGGTGGATCACAACGTCACCACGCAGTCTGAGCACAAGCAAGAAGGCCACAAGGCCAGTTCACATGCAGAAATATATATGTAACAACAACAGTACAGTGATATCTACCTACAAGAACAAGCATGCAGGAATACATATAAATCATGATACAAACAAAGCCTAAAGCAAGTGAGGAAGAGTGGGCACAAGGCCTAACAAAGTGCAGAAACGCTGATGATCACCAGGCGGAAGCGCCTTGGTGAATATATCAGCAGTGTTGGCCCGAGTGGCCACTTAGGTAAGACGAAGCTGGCAACGCTGCTGCAGCTCTCGAGCAAGAAAGTAACGGAGAGCGATGTGCTTTGTTCTGTGCTCCAGTCTGTGCTCCTGACACAAGGCAATGGCGGCCTTGTTGTCGACGTACAGAACTGGAGGAGAACGAGGCCTCTCTCCCAAGTCGGTCAGCAGGTAGGTGAGCCAGCGCAGCTCCTGTGCAGCCATGGCTGTGGCATAGATCTCTGCCTCACAGCTCGAGCCGAGAACTGAAGACGAACGTGTAGAACGCCAGGAAACTGAACCAGAACCAAGGCTGAAGGTGTAACCCTGTGACGACCGCTGCGTAGCCTGGTCGTCAACCCAAGAGGCGTCCGAGTGACCTGTGAGGACAACGTCACCCCGTCCTCCAAGCACGAGCCCCATGCCCGATGTACTGCACAAGTAGCGTAGTACCCTCTTGGCAGCATCCATGTGCACCTTTCGGTGCCGACCAGGAGCCACGTAGCGAGCCAGAAGGCCAAGAGGGTACGCAAGGTCAGGACGAGTGCAAGTCATCAGGTACATGAGGCAGCCCACTAACTCTGGGTAAGGACCACTCGGCTCTACGGACTCGTCCGAAGGTGGAGCTGAGAGCGAGTGACCTGTAGCCAGAGGAGTGGCCTGTGCTGAGGACCAGGTGAAACCGAAGCGCTGAAGGACCTGCTGCACCATGTGTGACTGAGTCAGTGTGATGGTGCGGCGTGCTCTGTCCCGGGTGATCTGCAAGCCAAGGTAGCTGCGCAGCTCACCCAGGTCTGTGCACGTGTGTCTCTTCTGCAGCTCCGACTTCACCAGGGCGAGAGCCTCAGTGTCAGCAGTGGCAAAGACCAAGTCGTCGACGTACACGAGAACGTAGAACGGCGGCAGAGAAGTGTCGGTGCGCAAAAACAACGACGGGTCAGCAGTCGACGGAGCAAACCCAAGAGCCGCAAGTGTCGTCCTCAGTGTGTCGTGCCACTCACGTGGCGCCTGGCGGAGACTGTAGACCGGCCACCGGAGGCTCCACTGGGTACCAGGAGGGAACGACCCAGTGAACCCAGGAGGGCGGCGCAGCCAAATCTCCTCATGCAGGTTGCCCTGTAAGAAGGCTGTGCTGAAGTCAAGAGAGTGAAGCTCGTAGTCACGCTGAGCGGAAACGTGCAGCAGCACCCGAAGAGTGGTCATCTTCGGGGTGGGGGAGAAGGTCTGGAAGAAGTCAACTCCCACTCGCTGACTGAAGCCTCGAGCCACGTACCGAGCCTTGAAGACAGGCGGAGAACCTGGCGGCCGCTTCACCCTGAAAATCCACATGCCACTGACAATGTTCGCCCCAGGAGGGGGAACCTCGTCGACGTAGTTGCCTGTGGACTTCCAGGATGCCATCTCTGCGTCCATGGCTGTCTGCCACTGAGAGGAGTACTCACCCGCGATCGCCTCAGCGTAAGAGCGCGGGGTAGGGATGTCTGGTGCATCCGAGTCTCCCTCAGGGGCAAGCAGCATGGATACGAGATGAGGCGCAGCGGCTGCAAGACACTCAAGGTCCTCCTGACTGTCCTCAAGGACGTCCGTGCCAAGAGCACACTCACCCCCGACGGACGAAGGACAGACAGACTCAGCAACAAGACTGGCGGCGTAGTCTAGACGACAGTGAGCAGCAAAGGCAACAAGCTCAGTGACTAGCAGACGCGTGACAGTAGAGTGCTTAGCACGAAACCGGTCAGACGCAGGGTCAGCAACGACAGGCAGAGAGGACGCAGGGGGAGGCGGCAGAGGAACACGCGGAGAAGGAGAGGAAGGACGACGAACGACAAGGGGAGGGCCGGAGACAGCCGGCTGGCTCTGACGAGGAACACGACGACCGGTACAGACAGGGGAGACAGGACGCGACGCAGGCTCACGACGCTCTGCAAGGCCACCAGGCTGCTCTGTGTACGGAGAAGGAGCAGGCAGCGGTGAGCCAGGCTGTAACGGAAGACCAGTAGACGAGGGAAGACTGAGAACCTGGCGAAGTGCAGAGTCAGGTGGTGGCTGAGACGACGGAGACGGCGGAGCAAAGAACAGGCGCGGCTGAGCAGTGCCACCAGCACGAGTAGCACCAGCCCCTCCAGCAGCACCAGTACCTCCAGCAGCTCCAGCACCCCCAGCAGCTCCACCACCTCCAGCAGCTCCAGCACCTCCAGCAGCTCCAGCACCTCCAGCAGCTCCATCACCTCCAGCACCTCCAGCAGCTCCAGTACCCTCAGCAGCTCCAGCACCGCCAGTAGCTCCAGGACCTCCAGTAGCACCACCACCAGCCCCAGCAGCTCCAGCACTCCCAGTACGAGCACCTCCGGGACCAGCGACACCAGCAGAAGAACCTCCAGCAGGAGAGCCCTGAGGTGCAGAAGTGGGACGCTGACGGCGACCGTACCAGTCGTGCAGCTGCTGGGAGGTGAGGGGCACACGCGGACGAAGACGGCTACTCCAAGGAGACCGCGGAACAGCAGTCTCAGAACCCTCAGGCGACTCACCCCCAGACTCAGCACCCCCAGGCTCCGCACACACAGGCGCAGCACCTCCAGACGTAGTACCACGAGACGCAGCACCTCCAGGCTCCTCACGCGCAGGCTCAGCACCTCCAGGCTCCACACGCTCAGCACCCCCAAAATCAGCACCCCCAAGCTCCGCACCCCCAGGGACAGCACCACTCGCAGCAGGACCGGAGTCACCAGTGACCTCAACAGTCGCAGGTGCAGGGGGGTCTACCTGAGAGACACCTGAAGGAGCAGGACCTGGCGCGGGGAGGGGGTCTATCTGGGGAGGACCTGGGGCGAGAAAGAGCGGCGGGGGGGGGCGAGGAGCAGTGCGGTAGGGGAAGAGGCGGTAAAAGGGGACGGACTCGTCAAATGTGACGTCCTTCGACGCAAAGGCACGGTGCGAGGCGGGGTCGTAGAACTGCCAGCCAGGCGCGTCGGGGACAAAGCCAAGGAAGACGCAAGGAATGGCGCGAGGGGAGAGCTTGTCCGCGGTGGTATCGCGGACAAAGGCACGAGCACCCCAGACCCGGAAACGCGACGCATCGCCTGTGAGATAATTGACGAAAGAATGAATGAACTAGGAATGAGATGGGTACAAGTAGAAAACACAAAAGTGTTGTACCCTCTAAGAACTACCCCACTACAGCCTTAATAGACTATAGCAGATATAAGTTTGACACACCCCCATAGGCAAAGTGGGGGAGAACAAGAGGTCACAAGACCAGTCAAGAAAAGCAAAGCAAGCTCAGGGTGGATCACAAAGTCACCACACAGTCTGAGCACAAGCAAAGGGCCATAAGGCTAGTTCACATGCAGAGTTATATAAAGGAAAGCAAACAGTACAGTGAACACAACCTAGCAAGTGTAAGCATGCAGGTATAAGTATATAGAGTACAGTACAAGCAGAGTCAAGAAGTCAACAAGTGAGGCACAGTAGGTACAAGGCCTAACACAGTACAGAAACGCTGATGATCACAAGGCTGAAGTGCCTTGGTGAAAACATCAGCAGTGTTGGCCTGAAAGGCCACGTAAGCAAGACGAAGCTGGCCACGCTGCTGCAACTCTCGAGCAAGGAAGTAGCGCAGAGCAATGTGCTTCGTTCTGTGCTCCAGTCTGTGCTCCTGACACAAGGCCAGCATGGCCTTGTTGTCGACGTACAGAACTGGAGGAGAACGAGGCGCCTCTCCCAAGTCGGTCAGCAGGTAGGTGAGCCAGCGAAGCTCCTGTGCAGCCATGGCCCCAGCGTAGATCTCAGCCTCACAACTAGAGCTGAGAACAGAAGAAGAGCGGGTAGACCGCCAGGAGAAAGAACCGGAGCCAAGGCTGAAGGTGTAACCCTGTGACGACCGCTGCGTAGCCAAGTCGTCAACCCAGGAGGCGTCAGCGTGACCAGTGAGGACAACTCGAGCCCGTCCTCCAAGCACGAGCCCCATGCCCGAAGTACTGCACAAGTATCGCAACACCCTCTTCGCAGCATCCCAGTGCACCTTTCGGTGCCTGCCGGGAGCCACGTAGCGAGCCAGAAGGCTGAGAGGGTATGCGAGGTCAGGTCGTATGCAAGTCATCAGGTACATGAGGCAGCCCACAAGCTCTGGATACGGGCCACTCGGCTCTACGGACTCGTCCGAAGGTGGAGCTGAGAGCGAGTGACCGGTAGGCAGAGGAGTGGACTGTGGCGAGGAGTAGGTGAAGCCGAAGCGCTGAAGGACCTGCTGCACCATGTGTGACTGAGTCAAGGTAATGGTGCGCTGCGCTCTGTCCCGGGTGATCCGCAAGCC